GATATACAATAACTGATTAAGGACTTATTCCTCCAAAGGTTTATGACTCCACGTTCTATTTTTTAGTCGGGAGTTTTTTTTTTTTCCCCCAAACGGTTGGGGTTTTTTACGGGAAATTTTGTTTTAAAACAATATGTTTTAAAATGGTTTTTTTTTTTTTATTGTATGTACGACATTTTCTGTCACGGTTTTTGGGTTTGCTAAATTTTCGCTTTTATCAATGTAATGTTTTTTTAAATAAAAAATAAAAAAAAAAATTGTCTTTGTATTTCAATTACTATAAATATCACAGCTATTGAATCTATTTTTGGGTTTTTTAATTGCTTTTCGAAATATCAGGGTTTTTGGTGAATAATTAGTTGGGTTGTGTTGGCCGGCTGACTGTAGCCCACTAAAAAAGGATGTGGCAGAATGGTTCAGGTCCTCAGAATCTGGATTAATAATTTTATTAAACCCGGGGAAGGGAGAATTGTGCTGGGGGAAAATTTAAATTTTTTTATGGCTTGATGCAAAACCCGCCCAAAAATTAAAGGGATTATATCATTTTGATAAGTATGAGGGGTATAGTTTAAAATTAAAGGGGGAAGACAAATTATTTTTCTGTTTTTCTCATAATCTTTTTATAAATATTCCTTAAAAAAGATCTTTGAGGAAAGTTACATCACTACACTTAATTTTTTTTACACAGGGAAAATTTAAATTTTTTCCCAAAACTTTACTGATAGTTTAAAAAAATCAAGATAAAAAAAAAGCGAGTGATTTTAAAAAGAAACTGAAAAATTTAAAAAGAAAAAAATTAAATTTAAAAAAAAAAAAAGGGTTTTAAAAAAACCTAGTAATTAAAAAGTAACTCGTTATTTCGATTACAAGTAATTTGTCAAATTTTTCTTTTCTTCCTTGGCTGAGTTTTTGGGATTGATAATTTAAACGTTCTTAAAAAATTTTGAAAACAACTTTAAACATTTTATTGGACAGACTTGATGAATATTTCCGTAAATGTACAAAAAAAATTAATAAAGTTCAATCAGTAAGCAGGAGATGGTCCACCAAAAACAATTACTGTGTTATTATTGAATCTTCCTGTTAATATTAAACAAATTCTTATTCCACAACATTGGTTTCTTATCTCTGAAACAACATTATCTAATAATTTATTTCAATAATTTTGTTAAATTTAACCTAGCCTCACTAAAGTCACTTTAGATTTCTGATAAATTAGTTCCGGGTCACCAATTTTTAAAAAAACTTGATGATGCTTGATATAATACACTGAAACACAGTTATCATGACACAGACAGCAAAAGTAGACTTTTATTAACAATAAATTGCACCAACATGAGGCTTCGTCAAGGCTAAACCTCGTAGTAATAAAGGCTTCGTTTAAGTACTTTACTTTTTTTTATTATTTGTTGGCTACGCCATACTTCATCCACAATTAATTCATCAGTGTTGGATAAACAATCAAAGGTTTCAAGGGAAACATGCCACAGATTATACAGAAATGTTTCATAGATTTTGTACTAGAAAGCTTTAGTCTTTGTTTCTCTTTCACGGTGGGTGAGGCGGTGTTACATTGTTCAGTTAACCTTTACCACTGATCTTGTTACAAGGTGAACGTTACCCTCCCTGAGACTTGGCATTCTACCACAAGGTGAACGTTACCCTCCCTAAGAATTGGCATTTTACCATAAGGTGAACGTTACCCTCCCTGAGACTCGGCATTCTACCGCAAGGTGAACGTTACCCTCCGTAAGACTTGGCATTCTACCACAAGGTGAACGTTACCCTCCCTAAAACTTGGCATTCTACCACAAGGTGAACGTTAACCTTACTGAGACTTGGCATTCTACCACAAGGTGAACGTTACCCTCCCTGAGACTTGGCATTCTACCCTCAAGGTGAACGTTAACCTCCCTGAGACTTGGCATTCTACCCTCAAGGTGAACGTTAACCTCCCTGAGACTTGGCATTCTACCATAAGGTGAACGTTACCCTCGCTAAAACTTGGCTTTCTCCCACAAGGTGAACGTTACCCTCCCTGAGACTTGGCATTCTACCATAAGGTGAACGTTACCCTCCGTAAGACTTGGCATTCTCCCACAGGGTGCACGTTACCCTCCCTGAGACTTGGCATTCTACCACAAGGTAAATATTACCCTCCCTGAGACTTGGCATTCTACCACAAGGTAAACATTGACTTTCCTAGAACTTGCGTTCTACAAGTACTAGTTTAACATCATCCTTCTTGGTGCTTGAAGTCTCATTTCTGCTCCCCGGAAATACTAGAGAGTTGGAACAATGTTTGTTGTGCATCAATGAAATAAACAGGACAAGTGCAATTGATGGATGAGCATTTTGAATATATAATATGAAGAATAAAAATAAAAATATCGTTGCTGGAACAATTCACAAATAACCCACAATATGCGCAGGAAACTTTTGACGATGTTTTGGTCCGACCTATACATTTTATCAATATTTGTTACTGAGTGAACAAAACATCGTCAATACAGTTTCCATGTAACGGCATTGGTCTTTTCTCATCATGTGATCTATAGAAGAGTTAGGAAGAAAAGTAAATGATAGTGTTATGGAGGGGTTGTGGCCTTATAAACTGATAAACCTGGTATAAAATTGTCCTAGTTGCGGTTTACAGATGACACAGTGCTTCTGGAAGAATCGGAAGTGAAAATGCAAAAGTTGATGAAGGAGTTCGGTAAGTGTCTAAGAGGATGAATTTGAAAGTAAATACAGACAAGAGCACAGTGTGATAAAAATAACTAGAAGTATAAGAAATGAAGATCAAGAGGTGAATTATTCTTCTTGCTGCTGTTTTCCCATCTATATTATTATTATTATTATTATTATTATTATTATTATTATTATTATTATTATTATTATTTTTTTTATTTAAAATACAGTATACATTATACATGTAAGCAAACATATGTCACTAAACCAATCGACATGGAACAAACAAAATTAAAGTACAAACATACATATACACAATCCAAAAGAAAAAAGGAACCCTTCACACAAGTGTACCAACAATATATCCAGATAATCTACTTCAGCACACTTATAATCTTATGCCAAGTTTTATATACAAAACAATTCTTAAAGGTAAATGCCTCACCACATACCATTAAAACCAATACATTCACCCCCCACCAAAGGTACATTTATAAAGTCGTACATATGTGCTCTGGAAATTTTTATTATTATTATTATTTAATTCTTTACCTTCTCCCAAAGTAAAACCACTGCCCAATATACAAGTTCTTAAATGAGCAATATAAGCGATATTACGAGAGTTTCAGCAAGGTTCAGTTGCTAGGTCAGATTTTTGTGTAAAAACAAAATTTAACATACCAGAAATTTGCAGAACCAAAGATACACATAAAAGAATGGAATAAACACTGGTCATCAGTTAGGAGACATATTTGTGTCTACTAGCAGGGATTTGATTAGTGAATGCTTAACCAGTTAACAAGTTATCATGTAAATAAGACCTGTGTCAGGAGACACTTTGTTATATTTTCTGACGAGACAACACCATTACCAGGCCTTCTTCAGCCAACCCGTCCACGATGCGTGACAATGCATGAACAGATTTAATATATGCTTCGCACTGCCCATGTAAGCCGCCCATCTTTAAAAATTTCGTTATTGTTGGAAAATTATACTAAAATTTATGTTATATATTAACATAACCCAAACCTACTCTCTCCAAACTTAACCTAGCTTAATCTAACCTAAAACGACCTAGCCTAACCTAACCAAACCGAGAATAACAAATATTTCTTAATGAAATTACATTTATGCATGAAGAATTAAGCATTTAGATAGAAATGCATTAATGTAGTTTCAATAAAATATTATGTGAAAGCGGCTACTGAAATTGGAGTACAGGTTTCAACCTTAGCAAACTAAAATGTGAGTAACTTTACCTAAAAAGAAAGTGGGATATACAACAGTGTCATGGATGCCTAAGTATAGCTAGTGTGAAATTCCTGGTCAGAGTACAGGGGTTTACTCAAGGTCATGCCTATAGCCCAGCCAGTACACCCTTTTGGGCCTCTAAAACCGGCTGGCTGCCTCGCCCTAGGCATGAAGTCTCTCTCATCCACTAAGTTTATTCAGGGACGCCAGATAAGGAATCCCAGATATACCCGTGAGAAAATAAATTCCCTGTACTCCGAAGACGTTTACACTGAAAATACTGATCTGGAATTAGAAAAACATTTACTTCCGTAAACAGTGCACAAGGCTTGTTCATGACTTAATAGAAACTTTGCTTTCTAATGGTGATTCTTGATGTGTTTGGGAAACATGTCCTGTTTTATGACATTTAATATAACTAAATTATACTCTGCCGTTTTCAGTATGCTAGAGGTGCTGACCTTTGTAGAAAATAAATTGATAGTTACAATAACGGTCAGTAATCCGGATAACAATTCTTTATTTTTAATTGATGTAACAATTAAATAACGTTAATGATGTAATACTAATACTAATATTCCATTAGTAGATAATATATCTTAGCAAAATATTTCAACTTCAATTTGAATTTTGTATATTGTGATCCACCAACAGTACGACATTTTTCCAATGTGTTGCCTTAAGGTTAATATTGAAAGAAAGTTCAGTTTTGCTGTCAGTAAGTTTTAACATTTTAAGCCATACTTATTTAGTGTTATAACATTTGAATTTTGTATAACATTTGAAATTTGTAAATTGTGAACCACCCACAGTACAATATTTTTCCTTAGTATTGCCCCAAGGTAAATATTTAAGGGAAAGTATAATTCCACTATGAATCTATTTAAATAATTTTATTTATATCCATTTAGTAATACATCATGACATAAATTTCATTTTAATAACCTCGATTAAAAGAAAACATATAGAAATAACAGGAATAATATTGGTAAATAGCGACAAATGGGAGTCATGACAGGAGGACTGGACTGGCGGGTGGATTTACGCGGTAACTTCAGTTGAGGCACAGTTGAGGGAGTAAGCTGTGCTCTACTTCTCTTTAGTTCTAGATTACTAGTGTGTAATATCGTTGATTTGAGTAGATTATTCTACAGGAGGATAGAGTCTGGCTTAGTTGATCAGAGGAGTGCGTAGTAGTCGTGAATATTTGTGTATTATAGTGTGAGAAAGCCTGGGAAAACCGTGGAATACCAGTCCCTTGACACGGCTCCTCCCACCACTACTTTGAGCTGGAAAGGTGAGTCAGTCTCTTCCTACCTACCAGCAGCTCCATTATTGTTCACTACGAGTGTTTGGGCTGTATTTGTAAAGTGTTTTAAGTTTGTCATAGCTGGCGACTCTTCTACGATCAGTTTCCAGACTATTCTATAATATCCAGACGGGTTGTAAAAGTTAACTTTGCAGGTAAAAGTAAACCGGGTTCAGGCTTGCCGTGTGTATTTAATCCTGTGCCTTGAACAGGCTGTGATAGTTTTCTCCTGATTAAAATGTCATATTTGTTCCTTTGCATGAAAATGTGTACTTAGATCTACTGGGTCATGCTAGGGAGGTCCTCCATCTTGATACTGGTGAGAAGGTAGGTCTTGATCCAAGGAATGGGACCTTCCCTTCCCTTGTCTTGTAACTGATAGCTTGCTATTGCCTGAGGTGCTATGGCGTACGGGTTTAGTTCCCCTTCCCCACCCTATCCCCCGTTTATGAATTTAATAAGCAGGTCCTGCTTTTCTCAAATCTGTTTGTAATAAAAATTTCACCGTAAGTATCGTAACTGGTACTGTTGGGCAGTTGACTCCACTTCGGCAACTCTGCGCTGTTAATTTCCACCATCTTTTTATATCTGAACCCCTCAAGGAAGGTTCCTTGATGTTGGTGAGGGGCTCTTGATTTAGGGAATTGGATCAGTGCTCCAGTTCCCCGAATTAAGCCTGAATGCCTTCCACATCCCCCCCCCCAGGCGCTGTATAATCCTCCGGGTTTAGCGCTTCCCCCTTGATTATAATAATAATAATTTATATCTGAATTTGTCCAATTTGAATAGATTGCTGAAATTCGTTTCTCATACATCTTTATATTTTGTTTTCCCCCATTGACGATTATAGGAATACTTCATATAAAGTTAAGCTTTCGATCACACAATAGAAGATATTGAAATATATTAATTCACGAGTTCTTATAAGAACATGTTGCAGTAAACCTACTGACCTACTCTAGGAAAGTTATCCAACTCAGCCCTTGTTACTTTTGTACCTGTGCTACGGTACCTAGTTTTGAAGCTGCTTAGTTCCAGATCAACCATGCTGTGATGGGTATGCGAGCCAGCGGGCTGCCAACATGAACAGCCGGGTTGACCAAACGAGCACCAGACGAGCCTGGCCCAGGGCCGGGCTGTGGAAATATGAAAACTCGCGAAGCTGGTCACGGGTATTCGCTTATATGTACCTACCTATACGTGGTTGCAGGGGTCGAGTCACACTTTTGCCCCTCTTCGCTGGTATGCCGGTTATGGTGCTAACTTTGATCACTACGTGAGATTGTTCCTCTCGTTGACGACTCTCCAGACCGGTGCTTTCCGATAAGCTTTCTAAATGTGAATTTATCACTCTAATCCGTTATTTATGGTTCTTTTATGACTTCATGGTGTCGAATGGCATATGCAATATTCGTAAATTTTAAGTGCAAATTATGTGCTGTAACATGTACAGTATATGACTACCAGATTTGGTCGTCATCGCCATGTTAAAAACAAAAGTGAAAAAGTGGATATGTTTGTCATTAAATCAAAGGTATAATTCCAGAAGTTGATTGATACGTGTAACACCTGGGTGTTATTGAGACGTGCCAACATAGCTTTTTTTTTTTTATAATTCTAATAGTCATAAGGCTTTTATATTGGGGGCCAGAAGTAGAGAAGCAATAGTTGATCCCGTGGAGATTTTTACCTTTTAGCATGTCCTGATAACTTACAACTTTGAATAGTCGTTGATTTATTGAGAAGGGCTGGATTTGAGACCCTACCCAGCATGGCCCCTCAAGGGGGTTCCTTCACGCTGGTGAAGGGCTCCTGAATCTGGGAATTGGATCTGTGCTCCGGTTCCCTAAAATAGACCCTGAATACCTTCCACCCCCCCCCCCCCCCCGTGAGCTGTATAATCCTACAGGTTTAGCGCTCCCCTGATTATTATTATACCCAGCATGGGCTTGTAGGCTGTTGCAGTTCCTCAGTTCTTATGTTCAAGTGGGGCCCCCGCTTCCTGTGACGTCATCTTGAAGGCTCTTGTGCTTCAGCTTCACGTGGTTCGAGATTATAAAGTTGAACCCATCTCCAAAACTGAGGGACGGACGGGCCTCAAACTACGATATATTAGACTGATCACGCTTTCCCTTTCCACTGCTTCTGCTCTATATTTGTAACGTCTATGCGCGACAGATAAGGTACTCCGCAGACGAACGTTTCGGAATAGATACATATGTTGCACATGTATCTTGCTAGTGTCTATTAACTCTTGTATATTCAAAACTTTTTTTTTTTGTAATTTTTTTCCATACTGACTGTTTCTCAAGATAAGGTAATATTTTGTTAAAATCAGTGAGTGAGAACAGTTCGTCTTGACCTAGGCCAGCAAATATCTTGTTTTTTTTAAAAAATTGTGTTCTAGCTTCGGTAGCTTCGTCAGATCACTTTGTAGTCCTGATGATTTTAAAAAAGTTTGAATTTAATGCTGCAATGAAAAATTAAGTGAGGAGCACCTTTTGACTCTTAAAAGCAAGACTTTAACAGTTGTATTATCTAGCTTGAAGTTAGTTATCCTTTTAACGAGTTATACGTCATTAATACTTTATTTCGTTCTTTCATTGATACATCAAAGTGAACAGCGCTTAAAATGAGATGCAAATTAAATTAATTTAAATGAATACTATATTGGTGGGAGGCAGTAGTGTGTTGCTAGTCTGACATTTACTTGGTACCCTTGAAGAAGGGGGCGTGCCGCTGTACAGCCACAAACCATGGTACCTGTTCTCCCAGTTCCTCTCGTTAAAGTTCACCACAAAAGGTACACATTTTGACTGGTATTTCTAAGTGAAATCGTATTGAAGCGTCAGAAATGGCTACCTGGTACTTAGTTAGGATTGGGTTTTAATTGAATATCTAAAATCCACTGGAAGCAAATCCCATAATTAAAATCCGGATTATGCAACGCTAATTTGGGTTGGGTGGATTCCGGACTAGAGGTGGATAATGTAAAAACTTTAGAGCAGCAGCAGCATTGCAGGAGGCGTATTGGTTCCCTTTAACCGTAAAAATCTTTCGGCTGTTTTACTAATATTTTAATGATCTTTCTGTATATCAAAAGTGTTAATTTTATATTTATTGGTGTACTCTTACTGAATTGACATTTGGTTCATTTTTCCCTAATTTTCTCGTACTATCAACTTTCCCTTTCAGACTCGCGTCTGTTTTCCCCACGTTCATATTTTGCTGCAATCAGACCATTTAGTTCATTAATAATATACGTACTTTCATTAGTTCAACACTTCTACCTTGGAAAACGAAGCTAATCTGAACTTTAGTATACCGGTACTTCGTCAGCGATAAGGTAATGATGACAGTTTTAGCTTCGGGTTCTGTCACTGGGTTTACGTTTTCCAGTTTCTAAGGCTGAGCAGTCTCCTTAATTACTGTGTATGGTAATATACGGGACGAATTTGCCAAGTTGTAGGATCGGCTGCAGCTGTATATAATTATTAATTATTGGGGACATTTTTAATGTTAAACTAATAGTATACATAGCTAATTTTAATTTAAGCATTGGCAATTTTCGACTTGGCTAACTGCACGTGTTCGGGGTGCTGGTGAGAGGTTCTTGACCCAAGGAATTAGAACTACCATTTCCTTTCTCGAATCGAACCTTGTTTACTCCCTGCCCGTCATTCCCCATGCTCTCTGTGGGGAATGAAGAGGTTTAGCGCTTCGCCATGAATTTAATAATGTAGCTACTGCACATTTGATAATTTGACTTAAATTTGTACGTGTCAAAAATGTGTCTTGTCCATAAATTTAATTTGTTGGATAAAGTTACTGAGGTGGTGGAAAGACAGCGTACCCTTTGAGTTTTCCTACTTCCGGAGCCTGGGTCGGGCTTACCTGGTGCTTGCCTGGGTCGACCAGGCTGTTGCTGTTGACAGACTGCTTTCCCACATATCCATCACATCATGGGTGACTTGGCATTTGGAGGTACTTGTCAAGTTTCCTATTGACTTTTAAAATTGTCCCGAGTTTCAGATTTTTAAGATGGTGAAAAGTCTGGAACAAAGGATGTTGATAGTGTTCTCTTATTGTACCCTGCTTTTCATTGGGTTTATTGTACATTTCATTGCATATACGACTCCAGTATGTCATGGCAGTGGGCAGATTTGGGACTAGGCCCTAAAGTACTTTTCACGCACATGTAAGTATGCATCTCTCCCGCGCCAACGAGTACATATTTAGGACTTTGAGGTGTTCCTAGTAATTTAAGTGCTTTATTAACTATGCGAGTCTTAATGATCTCTATCAATTCCAGCTCTTCCCTACCCTGAGCGGGGTCATCAACATTACATTACTCTGAGCGAGAGCACAGGTGATTTGAATAGTATCACTACTGGCAGTATTTTCTTTGGAACAAACCTTGGTCATTGATACTGGACTAGTTCAAAAAAGATGCGTGAGCAAACACCAGTCATTCTCCTGGCTGTCGTGACATTTGCCTTAGTGTTCTTTGAAAGGTCAGCAGACCTAATTACAATCAGGTCTTTCACATGTTCTCGTTCTATTTGGCGATCCTTAGGTATGTGCCGAAAAAACTTGGCACCCAGTCGTGATTACGGGCCATCTTATATACCCATCAACTAACCACAAAAATAAAACAATCCATTCTTGTAAACCAAATAAGCAATTCATCAGTAGTTACATGTTAATTTTAAGGCCTGCCCGAATTGGTACTTCATAACTGGGGTTTTCTGTCAGAATGTCGACTGTTCTTTCAGCAACTGTATTATGGTGCTTGTAGAAATGTATTTATATTTATTTATTAATTACCTTTGGTAATTTTACCTCGTGCTAACTTCTGTCGATTTGTTGGGTTAATACGTTGTTTTTTAGGTCTTAAACATTGAAATTTTCATGATTTTTATATTGTAAATGTAGAATTTACCCTGGGCAATCCAGTAGTCTCAGTGACTTGTTTCCCCACTGAGAGA